ATTATTATAAATAATGACAAATATCGTATAGTAATTTATAAACAATTTTCTGTAATTTTTATTTTTTATTTAAAATTTAAACGACGAACATTCTTTCTCTCTCCATATATTAGATAAAATTTAAATAAAATTATATAATCTTTTCACATATAAATTGTTCTCTAGACGTTCTTTATATAAAACATTTTAAACGTTGTAAATTTAGCCGATGCCATCTTCTATATATAAAAAAAACTACTTTTCTACTTTGACCAATATCAGTTACAGAAATAATATATTTCGGAATACTGGACCCATGGGAGTTCAAAGGTTGGGTAAGACAGACAGCGAGGTTGTGCACTATAGTGCCTGCAAATGCGATATGACATTTACACGCAGTAAGTCGAGAGGAGTTATTATAATATGATATGCTATAGATATATATGTTAAATCGCTCGAGAACGCTAGACGGTGCTAGAAGAGAATCCGAGTATGGAATACAAAAATATTTTTATCATTCTCTTATTATATAAAATATTACATATTTTGCATTTGTAGAGTGCTTACCAAAAAAATCAAGATTGCTTCTCTCGAAGCATATATATCGTCATTAAAATATTAACACCCTCTTAAAAATTCAATTCGGCTAGATCATCGGATATTACGATTTGTTTCTGCTTTTACATATCAGAGATTATGCCATCTGTGATAAATAGCTGAACAGCATACTTTAAGGATCCTTGTAACACATAGTCGGTTGTAAGGATATAAGGACGTAAGGTCAGTAAGCATCAGTCGATACTAGTTTTAATACCGGTCGACAAGTCTTGTGATGGTTTGTAAACCTTATGAAAGATGGTGATACAAGCGAAACGCAGCCATCATGAATCAAATTGTGTCCAAAAGAAGTGGGGTTGATGGTGACGAGAGGTGGTCCTTTGCTGGTTAAGCCTACCACTCACAAAGGGTGGAGTTTGCCACGCGTGAACTGCAACTACCTGCAGTTACAGCATTGGCGTGGAAAATTGTAATCTTATAAATTATTAATTAAAGTTGTAAAAATAAAAAAAAGTATGCAGTATATTTTTAAATTATTTACTTATTGTTTATGTATATGTGTTACGGAGAGAGGGGGGGGATATAAATATATTTAATTTAGAAGAATATAACTTTTATGATCTTTAGATACACATTTTTATAATACAGTGATATTTATTACAAAATATTTATGTTATACATTTTGAATAACTATAATATCATTTTATTTTTTGCAAAGCATTCAAATAATAAATTTAAATCTAATATATTTCTAATCAAAAAATTGGATTGAGTGTTTATGTTTTAAAAATAATAATATATTGTTGTATAAAATTATATGAAAAACGATTTATTTAAATATTTTCTTGTCATACAGTTATAAATTTTACTTTAATAATATTTTTAAATATGAGTACCTACATACGGTAATTTTGAAATGCACTAGAACACTATAAGCGCGCGCTATTTATTTCCTATGTATAATGATTTCATGCGTATAATAATTTGAGCGTAAAAATGTTAAATTATATTTTCCTATAGTTTAAACCGTGTTCTTTTGAAATTGAAGGAGTTTTAATCATTAACAGCGTTAATTAATACTTTCACTTTTATTCTAAAGAATAAACCTAAAGAAAAGTCTAAAGGGGAAGTCAAGTACCTATTTAGCATAGCATTGCCACGAGTCGTACAATGGCATATATGTGACACGCACATTTTTAGCATTAGACGCACATTAGTGCATCGTCGCAATCATCGTGCCGCGGACGACTTGTCGCATCATCGTTTTCGCGTTGGACTATATTACTACTCCCGATTTCACGAATATCACCGAGAATTATACTTTCGATGCCGATTGAATAGGATGTCTTACTGAGACGTTGCCTATGCAACATTCTCACTTGAGTGTCACGACACTTGGTGATGCCGGCCGCGTAGGACATATGTATATAAACGCGCGAAGAGTACAGCTTAGGCTCATGTTCGACTAACAATAAATGAAGTCACACTCTGCTCTGACAAACGGTCCGAATCGGCTCGAATCGATTAGAGTTTGGTCGATTGTCTTGAAATCGTCGTTATTGTGGATTTCTCCTATTGTCCGTCTGCCAGGTACGTATGTATCGCGTTGACGAGTTAAGTTGTCTAGATTGTTAGCAATTAGGAAATGGATATTTTCATTCTCGACGCGTCTATCTGCCTTATAATATCGCCTATGGTTCCGATTTTGGTATCTCATCTGAAGTCGTGTCTAATCAAGTTTGAGTAATTCCGAGACAAGATTATGCTTGGATAAGAGTCGAGGCAATTCCATTCGCGTCAATCCCATTCAATCAATTTCGCCTTCTTCCGCTTCAGATATATCTTTATACGATACACGAAAAATTGTTATTTCCGAACTGCAAACATCTATTCTGTTATAATTATTACATTTTCCTATAGTTCTAATTTTTTTCGAGTTTGACGGAGTTTTAATCATTAATAGCGTTAATTAATTATTTCACACACGCGCGCGCGCGCACGCATGCACGCACGCACGCACGCATATTTATAAAATTATTTACATATTAACTCTAGTTATCCATTTTTTCAAAATCAGTTAAATTAAAATTATACACACATACTTAATATTTAAACTGTCAAATGCTCAATTATGACAGGCTTTTATTGATATGAAGTAAAATGCATAGTATCGATTTAATACGCCTTTTTTATTTAAGAGTGGATATTTAAAGATGAAAGTAGCAATAAAGTTAGTATAGAGGTTGAAATAATCATATCATAGTATATGTTCTATTGAAATCACTTTACATAAACACACACATATCACATATTGGCTTTGATAATACAAAGATTTTATATTTATATTTTACATTCTGCTTCTGGTAGGATATTATTATTATTGATGTATACTAATCTATCTGTATTTTTTAAATTTTACCAAATCTGATTTAATCCTGCAATTTAATCTTTATATGATAATTAAGATTGACTTATATTCGCAGGTGTGAATAGTCATTTGCGTATCAAATGTCGATAATATATCATTGGAGTAAAAGATTCCTGACGGTTACTTTAGTTGATAACTACTAAAATTTTATATGTTGTTATATAAATAAAATTTTATAATTATTTTAAGGACTAATTGTGGTAACAGAAAATGCAATTGTAAAGACAATGTTTGAGTAGCTAATATCTATAACATAAAAGATTACAAGAAGAATATGAAACAGTTTGCTGCAACACAGATTTCTCTTCTATCCAAAGCTAGTAAATAAAATATCAACAATGAATATCGAGAATTTAATCCTTCTGAAACAAGTTTGACTCTTTAGACAAATTATGACATCATTAAACACACTTAAAATGTTTCAGACTAGTACTTGGAAACGTTATAAATATACTAACGCAATAATAATATCCGTAATAATAAGAAAACATAAAAGAAAATTCAAAGATTTTTAAAAAATTTTTATGAAGCCTGATATTTTTCTCTCGCGCTCAAAGAAACTAGAGTATTAATCGCAAAGGTTACGTCTACTTTGACTACATTTACATCAAATATACGATCTTGAAAAGATCATGATGTGTTGCGTGAAAGTGCTACAATCTTCTTAAATCTTAAAATTTTTGTAGATTTATAGATATATGTTATTAATACACATGTTTTAATAAATGCATCATTTTTTAAAATTTTGATAATGACATTTATATATTTTATAATTATGCTATATTTTTATATCTTATAATTACGCATGTTATAATTGTATAATTTATTTTGAGATTAATTTGTAATATATGTAGATAATTATTACAATTTTTTTTCTTATAAATAATTATTTTATATTTAAATTTATATTTATTATTTATATAAAGTTTAGTTATACTTATATAAAGGCCAGAATATCATCTGTTTTGATAAAGCGTCACAAATCTCTAACAATTTTTTTTTATAATGTTTGTATAATTTTTAGATATTATTAAATTACATAAATTCAATATTGTTTAACTATATCGCAAATAATTAAGTTATTCAAAGATTGCTGAAAATAGATAAAACTCAAACATTTGATAATCATCATTGATTGATCATCATTGATCATAATCATGCATTGATTTTTTAAATAAACTTCTTTCAACAAAATGTATAATAAACATACTTATTTTTTTTTCCTATTATAAATACGCGTTCTCAAGATTAGCTTACAATAGAAGACAAATAACTTTTTAATGGCAAATATACTATCGTTAAATTTAGCACTAAGAAACATTCAGGTATACAGGGATTGCATTCTCTCTAGGGTATAGTTTTCGTCACGTAGTATATGCAACGTTCTTACCTTTTTAAGGCATACTATAAACCCAACTCACAATAAACCTGACGTATATGTACAATACGGTAGCAATATACCTGTGGAGATAGAAAGTTATTTATTATCCAAAGAGAATATTATAAAAGAAAAAAACACTCTCTATATACATATTTGTCTACATTAAAATGGCTAATTAAATACAGCTTCTTATAAAATACTAAAAAATAATTATAATAATATGTTTTAACAAAGTTATTTTTATCATTTGCGATATAATTTATATATATGTATATGTGTTTTATTTAAAAATGATATATAAGCAATATATTTTTCATATGTACAAAAAAAGGTTGAATTTTATTAGAGCTTGTTTGAAATAATTACAAACTTGCATTGAAATTATTCTGCACATTGCGTATGTAAAAAAACACTAATTAATATTTTGCAAAATATCGACAAAAATGTATATGAAGTAAAAATAGAAAATCTGAAAATCTGTGCGGCGATGTTACGAATGTGTTTAGTTTATAATGTCCGATATGCGATAGAGAAGTAGTGGGGAGGTAACTGTCACTGAAGACAATTTATGTTAATGACTGTTCGTAACCGAGGAGGGCCGAAGTCGCTCGACAGAACAGTCTGCAGTCTGCAGGTCGCCGTAGCAGCGGTCGGACACGAAGCTCCTTGCTCGATTTTCGACATCCTCCCCTCCATTCCAACCCTGAATTCACCACCATATCGTGTTCCATCCCTACGATGGCGACGCCCAGCGTCGATTCGGTGCGCACAATTTCATCCCCAACTCGGAGATTCGTCCTCCTATGGACGCTTGCACGCCCGTCGAAAAATAGTTGATTTTCGTATGATTAAATCAGTGTATTCAACGGTCAAAAAGCAGTGATGTGTTAAGGATACATTCGCGTAATTATTGGTGAGTTTACATTCTCATTTCTTTCCGTTGAAATTGATTCATTGTTATTTGTGAGGAAGGTAATATTTAGTTACACGTCAAATTAAAGAGTTGCTAATAGCTTGGTCTAAAAATCTATGGAAAGATTAAAATACATTTTTCTTCTCTAAAGATATAATTGTCAGTTTAACTGGTGCTAAACGAGACAAAAGAGATTTCTATATACATGAATTATATTGGCATTCTGTATGTCCTTGACACTGTCTATTTTTATCGGACGAGAACTGAAAATGGCTACAGAGGAGCGGAAAAATGATCTGCCGCAATTCACGATACTTCATATAATGATAGCGGACAATATTATTTGCCTAACACAATTTCTTAAAATGTATGAAGGGGAAAATCTTTTTTATTTCAAGAGAATATATTGTTAATATGTATAAAAATTATTGCGGTGCGCAAAATAAAATAAATTTATTGTTGCTCCAAATAAATGATAAATCGCAAAAGTTCGGTTTTATTTATAGCAACAAATTTACACTGAGCCAAACGTACTTTCTATAAAAATGATGAAAAAAGTAGAATTTTCTTATTTGTATTAAATATGTTTCATTCCTTGTCATATGACAGATTCAAAATGCGTAGCATTGTGTTAATTATATTTTTCTATTAAGTAACATAATATTGTCTACAAAATGTTCCATTTAGATTAGAAATCTAAATAAATTCACGTATTTCGTAATTAGGAATATAGGAATATACATTTAAAACAAGGAAAAATACAATTATTGCGTTTCTCCTCAAAGCTTAATCTCGATCGTATGAGAGTACGGGAGGAATTTGGCCTTTCATTTTATATAACATGTCCAGACCGATGTATTGATGTATTCAGACGAGGAAAATAAATATTAAACATGATGTCGGTAACCGACGAGATACATTTGGGCACGTAAAAGGCACCGCCGCGGTGGCGCCGACGGTGGCGGATTTCGCGATTCCCGTATAGCCTCTCGCAATCTGGCGGGATGCCGATCGATTTGCACTGTGTTCCTCACCCGTACAACACGATTCCATTTCAGTTCATTTCGCTCGATTCGCGAGGTAGTACGTATCGTACAATTGTATAACGGAAATCTCTCTTTCACAGATCGCGACGACTTTCGACGGATCCGTGTGAGAAACTTTGTGCTCCATTTTTGCGAACAAAAAAAGCTTTTGGCTGTATAAAATTAATGAATTTTGATATAATTAATGTGATCTTTTTTTAAGAAAGAGAGAAACTACTCCCCGTACGTGATATTAGGTTTATTTAAAGTCTGTGCACGATGCGATCCTTGTAAATAACGTTGGACGTCGACAAATTATTAATTCAATTGTGATTTGATTTCTTCAATTCAATTTGATATTCTGCAATTTTTTAGATATAAACGTAGACTAATTTTTATATTATTTTAGCAAACACAATGTTAATTCAACAGTATTAATTCAATAAATTTAATAAAACTTGAAATTTTTTTTACATATTAAAAAGAAAAAAGAAATTCTCATGGCTAAAAAAAGTAACGAAAAATATAAATGAAATTTCTTTTATGTATTTTTGGGCAAAATTAATATACATTGTATTTGCACTTTTTCGTGAAGCATCTGGTGAACGCATATATTTAGTGAACCATCTTCCCCAGTTCTTCACAAAAGCTATAAAATATGATGTGAGCATGTGTACACGAGAACAAACCGGCTGTGAATCCAATCAAGGACTTACGGCGTCCACATTCCACATCTAAACTTCCAATCTCTAAACTTGTTGAGTATCTTACCAAAAAGATTGATCTGAAATACAAGTTTGTATTTTTCAACTATTTTTAAACGATTGCTAAAGCAAATAACATGATATATTTATTGAGATACAGAACAGTTGAAATTTTTTAATTTAGTTGCAATCTTTTGTCTCTCTCTCTCTCTCTCTCTCTTTCTGAAATTTTTTATCTATATTTCCACTTGTATCTACTTTGAAAAAATCCGCGAAAAATCTGTCGTAAGAAATAAAGAATTTTTTTGTAGATATATAAGCTTAATACATATTGAATGTAATCGTGAAGCGACACGTGAATGAAAACAAGAGGTAGCGTGACACGACAAAGCGTTAAATGATCGATGTTGTGTCTTGCGAGAAGTACGGTCACCGTGATTGCTATATATTTAATAGGGATGTTACCAAACAGCACGTGGCAGACACGTGTACTAGTCTCTCTTGTCTTCTTCTTCTCCAGTTATCCAAATAATTTTACAATATAATAATTCATTAAATTCATATATATTATAATGAGAGATAATATTTATATATGTAATTTAATATGTATAAATGAAGAAACCATTTGCGCGCTTGGGATGACTCATTTTCGGAGATTATTTTACAAGGCTCATTAATGATTGATGATTTAGTAAGAAATAAAATTATATTTCTGTAATATATTATATAATTTTACTTGATAATTCCACTATAAGACTATTAACATGCCGTCTAATTTAGTAATTCTTAATGCGGTTGAATTAAAGTACCGGTGTCATAAATTAACACATTTCCGCAAGAAATGACGTCATGCTGCGTAATTTGTGCATGGGAGATGCTGCAAGGTTTCATTAATCTTTTATAAGCGACTATGCAGTCAACTCCAGATTATTATAACGATATCATTATAGAGTACCGTAAAATTCTACGAAAAAAAAGTTTTATCTAGAAATATAATGTAAAAAATCTATAACTTGTATTTTATATATATACACGGAAAAAAAAATTTTCGCTACCATAGCTAATCATGGTTTGCAAAATAAATTTCTAAACTGCAGCAAAACGGTTTGTTGTTGCACTTAATAAATAGGTATCACAGTTAAGATGTTTGCTGTTGCACCTAATAAATAGGTGTCACAGCTAAGATGTTCGCTGTCCATATATTACGACTGAAATCTAGTTACCACACGCAGTTTTTAACTACGGCAGCTAATTTTTTTTCCGTGTATATATTTATTCTGATTAATTAGTATTATAGATATTAAACAGTTTATTGCAAAATAAAAAAGTAAATATATAGCTTCAAAAAAATTAACGTTCCTCTTGACTCCACAGTTTATTGCAAAATAAAGATGTAAATATATAGCTTCATAAAAATTGACGTTCCTTTTGACTCCATTCAGTTGCCATGAATGTTACTCAAAATTTCTCTACGCGGAGCGCGTCTATTCTCAACGTTTTTCTTTTCTCGGTATTGGAACAGGTATCACGGTCCGTTGTAGGTAATAGGTTTCGGATAATGGCGACCTATTTGACCTTCGGTTTCGTAGCCGACCTGCTGCGTATTCTGAACTTCTTTGAAGTTCTTGTTTTCGAGAATCCCTATATAAAAGACTGTATACTATATTGTCTTTTATGCACATTGTTATTTCATTCAACTTTATTTTCACATTATACGATAGTATTTCATCGTAATTTTATTTTGTAATTATAATTATACATTAAAATCAATAATTTTTTTATACTTTAAATTAATATGTAACATGAATATTTTTACCAAATACAGTAAATAAATATAATTACGATTTTAATTCTGTCTGCCTAAATAAAGTGTTCAAAAAATATATATCGAGATTGTATCTTTTTTTAAATATATATATTATAATATAACACATAAATAAATAAGTAAATATATAATAAATAAAATAAAATAAGTAAATATATAAATAAATTTATAAGTTTTTGCATTAATTATAAACTTATGGCAATTATGACATTCAGTAAGAAATAGCATTTATTGTCTAAATCGTTCTTCGACTCAACTGTATCGAATTGTTTCGATAAAGACTCGTCGTTGTAGGTGGATTCGCTTATTATCGCGGCACAAAAGCCGTGCGAGTTCCACACGAATGCTGTGAGCCCTCACATGGATTTCATTTCAGGATCGCATAAAATGGTGCTGAAGGGGAGAGGAGAGAACGCTGGGGAAGAAACACGAGGGGAGAAGAATAAAGTCGTGGAACGGCCAGGGAAGCGAGAGGGAAGGGAAAGATGCCGGCTGGCAAGCAGATGGTTGCCCCGTTTATTGGTTTATTCGTTGCTTCAGCCATGACGTTCTGTCCGGCCATGAAACAAGCCGGAGATTCTCCTTGTGTTGAAGAGTATCATGCAACGAGGCTACGAATGCTCTTCCTATTAAATCGCATTCGCGAATTACTCATTCACATTGTAAGTAAATAACTTCTTTAGCATAAACTATACCGCTTAAAATTGACAAATGTTCTTAAATTTTTCTAATTTATTTTCTTTATTTATTTTTACAGCAGTTATATGATAGCCAGCAACGCAGTTACTTCGAATAGTTTTTATTATTCCACAAACATCTGCTTATTTTGCATCTGACATCGTTCCTCTATCAAGGCGTGTTTTACATACGAGGTAAAGCTTTAGATTTTACAAGTACTAATGAAATATTTAAAATAATGTCTAATTACGGAAAAATACGTTATTCTCCTTTGTTATTACACTCAATATTATTCTAATAAAAAATATTACATATAACACAAAATATGTTTGCCACAAAATTATATGTAAATTAATATATAAATCAACTTATGTGTTTATATATTCAACAAAGAGAAATAATCAGCTGATTGCGTTTGTTACTCCTAAACTTTTAATGATGTAAAGTACAGTCTCATTTTTTAATTTTTGCAATCTGCTACATTACCTTATAATCATATTACAATGTATGTCATACATAATATTATATGTATATATAGTAAGTCTCTTGAAAAATATTCGATCGGTTATGACTTATTTAATTCAGCTAGTGGAAAACTTTTGTAATCGGCGTCGAAATAGTAGTTCTTATATCGTAAATTATGCACAGTAAACGAGAAATAAGAGCGGT